TATAATTTAAAAATCATAGAATTTATCTATTTCAGAGTTACAATTTAAAGAGGTTTAGTAAATGTATATAATGGTGAAATTATACCCCCAAATTTGTTTTAAAACTCCCATCACCTTAAATGATTCCCTGATGGTAGTTTGAGGTCAGCCCTGGGCCTTTGTGGCTCTAGGAAACCATGAATATGCTTTCTATTTCATATAAATGGAATTATACAATAAATTGCCTTTGTGTCTGGCTTCTCTCATTTAACATGTTTTCAGTTTTATTCATATCGCTGGATATATTCATAGTTTATTCCCTTTCCTTGCTGAGTAGTATGTCTCTATATGGATAAAACATATTTATTTATCCATGCACTAGTTGAGATACGTTTGGATTGTTTACAGCATTTAACTATTATGAATAATGCTGCCACAAATGTTAGTATATAATCTGTGTGTGAACATGTTTGAACAGGTATCTGGGATAGGAATTACTGGGCAGTATGATAGGCATTTATCTAACTTTAGGGAAAATGTCAAACTATTTACTAATGTAGTTGAACCATTTTGTACTCACATCAGCGATGTATAAGGATTCCAATTGCTCCACATTCTTGACAACACATGGTGTTGTCTATACATAGTCACAAAGTTATATTAAAAAATATGCAGAAACATTTATTGTAAAGCACCAGCTCTTAATGTTTATGGTATAGGTAGTCTCCTATAGGTTGTAATACACACTGGGAAAGAAATGGGTTTAGAAATTGAAAATAAATAATCTTCTGCCATAACTCTCTATCATGCCTGAAAAAGAAAGTATCATCATAAGAATTGTTTATATCTGGCTTTTGTTCTCTGCTATTATAATGTGACTATGCCTATGAAGGAAAAGAAATGGGACCAAACGGGCATGAAGAGGTGATAGGAAGGGTCTGTGGACAATTTGAGGACTAACCACACAAAGGCACATACTGATGTGCCAGCTATTTCTGTAATATTAAGAATTACCTCATCGATGAACAAATATTACACATTAAAACAAATAAAAGTAGTTATATTTTATAGATTGAAATAACAACAATGGAAACCAAACAAGTCAACAAATTTAAAGAACTTTGTCTTCTGTGTTACCGATAGAGCATCCAGGCACTCCTTCTCTCCTTCCAAAAAGAACATTAGATCCAACTCTATTTCAGGATAAATCACAACACTATGTCATCACTGAGACTGAGACTGAAGTAGACCTTTCTGTCTTCCTCAAATTTGGTTGACAAGATGCCAAAGAGAAAGTGGGATGGTGCGGTGGGTGGGTAAAGGAGGTCAAATATATAGTAATGGAAGGAGACTTGACATTGGGTGTTGAACACATTATGCAGTATACGGATAAAGTATTATACAATTGTACAGTTGAAACCTATGTAATAGTATTAACCAACATCTCCCCAATAAATTTAATTTTTAAAAAAGAAAATTCAAAATGAAGAAAAATGTTAAATGTGCTAGCAGAAGAAAAGGACAGTTAACAGATGAAGGGAGAGTTTGGAGCTATTAGGGAAACCAGGGTAGAACAGCCCAGGTGGCACTACATATCATGCCTCGAGGGATTTTTCCACAGCAGTTAGGAAATTATTGTAAAATCATGATGGCTCCAGATGCCACCAGAGGTTTGAGAAGTCTGTATAAGTGCTCTGTTTGCTAGTTGTAGGGAAGGAAAGGAGCCAAATTAATTCTGAACTGGAAAACAGAGGTTGATACAGGTATACGTTAATCTTAAAATGTTTTTACATGTTCTCCACATGGCAAGCTCTGTGCTGAATTACTTATGAACACTATTTCATTAAACCTCCATAGAAATTCTAGTGTGAGAAATGATAAGGACAGATGAGAAGATTCTATAGAGTGTCATGGGGTGGCAGGAAGCAAAAGAAAGATGGAGAAAAGTAAAATGTAGATGTTGCTATTCGGAATAAAAGAAGACATACCGTGGGGGAGGATCTGGTACATAGAAAAGAATGAAATTTAGATTGGGTGGAAGAGTAAATTAGAATTAAAATAGGAACTAGAGAAAAGAGGGGGCTGAAAATTTAGGGAGAATGGAAAAGAGAAAGAAGATGGAGAATAGAGAAAGGAATGAGAAAAAAGAAAAGAAGATGGGGTAAAACCATTTGGATATACAGAATGAAAAGCAATAAAAAGGAAGGAGAAAACAAAACTCAGCCATTTCCATAGAAAAACTGTTTTAGCAGGCCCTGAGGACTTATTTAGAGAATAAAGATTTTTCAAGTCTTTCCAAGAAAAACATGCAGTAGGGATGAGTCAATTGATTCTTCCCCAGTAAAAGCACACTGAATTGCTTGAGATGAGGGATCAGCAGTGAAGGACTCTCAGCATGTAAAGTATAAAAAAGCTCCTTTCTCAAAGTGAGCCAGAAGATTAGACAGCCACCACAGCGTGCTTTGTTTAGATCTGAGCATTGTGATTTACTGGGAGAGAGGCCTGAATTCTGTTTGCTACACATAACACAACCTTTATAAGTGGACTACACTATCTTTCATGGATTCCTCTTGTCTAAGAGATCAGAATCTGCAAAATAAGCTATTCGCAGTGTTGCCATCCCAAACAGAAAATCCTATCTCACAGCAAAGAAAAAGGGGGTGAGCAAGCAGGGAAGCCCACCTGGTCTGGTGCACCTGACCACACCCCCATCCTCCCCACCTGGACTCAGAGTTCCCAAAACAGCTTTAGAGGTTTTTCTTCGAAGGTGCCTAGGTAAGAACAAAGACACCATGCTACCTCTCAGAGACTCCTCATTTAAGGTTTTTTCTGTCTTTGTTTTTGTTTTTTGGTCTGGGCCTTTTTAGAAAAACAGACTTTTCTCATGGTTAATGATTTTCAACCCACCTGCAAAAGATCAGAGAGGAGTTTGAAGGCTTGCAGTACTTCTGGAAGGAAGAATGACATTCGAGCATCCATATTCATTTATTCATCATTTCATTCCTTCATTCAGCACATATGGAAAAGCTTATATACACTTAACAGATGGTCTACTAGGTGATGAACAGATAAATTTTCCTTTCTTTTAGGGAGTTTAACTACTAGTAAGAGAGACAGATATGAAACAACTACTTATGCAATGTTTAATTAACTGTATTCACTTATAAGAAAAAGCCCAGAATGTAAAACCAGCATACCCAAGAGTCTTAAAGGGTGACGGACATTTGGAAAAGGCTTACATGGGAAGGACAGATAGGCTTTGATTAGGCAAAGAAGGACTATAGAGGAGGTGGAGAAAGGCATAAGGAACAGGGAAGAGCATATATGGAAACCCTATATCAGGAAGTGTCTTAATGAGATCCAGGAACTTAAACACTGCAAATTTAGCTGGATTAAAGAGACCAAACGGGAGCGAAACGGTGTGAGTTGGTGATAGGGGCTGAATCATGCCTTACCCTGGTGGCGAAGATAAGGCCTTGGGACTCTGTTCTAAGTACAATGGAAGCCCTTAAAGGAGATTTTGCTAGTGATGAATAAATCATATTCCAATTTTTAAAGGTTTATTTTAACCACAGAGTGAAGAACTTTTGGAACAGTGGATGGAGGATGATCAGCTAGGGAGCCTGGAAGAAATGGGCCATACTGTTTATTAGCTATACAAAAGGAAGAAAGGGAATAATTACTTCATATGTTTTAGAGGCAAGTTTGAAAGTGTTTAAATGTTGGTTTGATGACAGAAGAGGTTTCAAGAATTGTTGCAAGTTTCTGGTGAGTTAGGAAACTCTCAAAATAAAAATCATGTGTGATTGTTTCTGAGCCAATAGCTTTTATTCTCTGTTCCTTGCTATTTTAAAATGAGGTTATGAAAAATTATAAATTGTTAAAACTTGTGAAAGTTAACTACTAATTTGAACAGTTTTATCTACTAATGTGTCATTTACAAATGTAGGCCATTATAAATACAGTGAAATAGATACTAAGCATTGAAGAAGAATACACACACACATATATATGTGTGTGTATGTATGAGAATGTGTATATATATATATATATATATATATATATATATATATATATATATATATATATATATATGGGTTTGTGAAGACAGGGGAATGTATGTAGGTATGAGTGTGTGGTAATGTGAGTTTAGCTTTTTTTTATTAAATATTTTATTGGGGAATTGGAGGAGAACAGTATTGGAGAATTGGGGAAGGGGAACAGCCAAGTTGTTGTCCTTCAGTCTTAGTTGTGGCGGGCGCAGCTAGCTCAGCTCCAAGTCCAGTTGCCATCCGGCCGCCCATTGGCCGCTCAGCTCAAGGTGCCGTGTTCAATCTTAGTTGTAGGTGGGCACAGCCCACCATCCCATGCGGGAGTTGAACTTGTTGTTAGGAGCACGTGCTCTCACCAGATGAGCCATCCTGCTGCCTGTTGGCAGCTCAACAGCAGCTCACCTCGGGTGCAGCTCACTGGCCCATGTGAGAATTGAACTGGCATTCCTGTTGCTCAGAGCTTGCGCTCTTAACCAACTGAGCCACTTGGCCAGCCTAGCTTTTTTTTTTATTTAGCAAAATTCTCTATGCTACTAAGTCCTTGGGTTTTTCTGTTTGTTTTCTAACAAACCTTGAAAACTGCTAAAGGGGAGATTTTCAAATGTTTTACTGTCTAAACACTAGGGGTTTAAGTCTTGTCTCCATTTTTCAGATGAACAAATTAAATTCACGGGAAAGGAGGTCATCCCACATGATTGTCTAGGAAGCAAAAAGACAAAGTGATAAAAAAATACCTTTTAGAGGCTGTTTTTAACATAATTCTTCCCTTTACTGTTCCATTTATATATTGGGTTGTCAGAAAAGTCATGACACATTTTTGCAATGAAAAACATAGAAAAAATACATCATGACTTTTCCAACAACCCAATATTTAAAAAGCCATTTACCTGTCTTATATGAAATATGTTTTCAATTTAGGAGCTGTGACCTAGATGGGAGACTCCAGCCTCACCTGGTAGTGAGAACACCATGATGAATTCTAATGCATCGCATGCCAACCACCATAGTTTTATTTTGACAGGTATCCCAGGGATGCCAGAGAAAAACCCTTGGATGGCCT